ACTTTAGTCAACCACAAGATCCACGCCTCAAGATTTTTAAAACTAGTCTATTAGAGAGAGATTTCACATTCTATAAAAAAATGTTTCGTTTTCCTCTTTAAATAATATGAGATCTTAAAATTCATTTTTCACATTCATCCCCCTTGAACTATGTTAGAGTTGACAGTGGACGTGATAGTAATCGAGGAATTGCAAACGACATAACCTAAATTTGTTTAATTATATTACATTGGAAACCCAAATAACAGGGAAAGTCCTATGCGCAATGAAAGAGAAGAAAACACAGTCAAACCAAAACTAGGAGAAACAACAGCCACATACATTCATCACAAGATAGACCCCAAATGGTTAAAGAAGAGAATCGTCAACCAAAGCACTGAGCAGCCGGAAGAGGGCCGGGGATGTACCCCTGTTCGAAGTACTGCAACCCAAAAACGACCAAGATAGCCAATAAACTCAAGTACGACAGACCTTCCACCGCGCCCAAAAGCCCAAAAGGGCCGTTGGGCAGGCCAGATCCAGTTTTCGTCTTCGTGTATACCGACCAACCCACGATGCCCACCACCGCCAAGTAGCTGACGCCTTCCAATGCGCCGAGTGACCCGCCTGGCCCCGGCGGCAGCCCGCACCCGGTTGTTTTCAGGGTGTACAGCGACCAACCGATCACTGGGGTCGCCACTAACCCCCCGGCTATTGCCAACGTCTCTGCAATGCCCCCTTCGCTCTCGCTTCCTTCCTTTGCCATGGCCTGAATCTTCACTGCCGTCCGTGGATTCGCCGGTTTACAAAACGAATTCAAACGATTAACCGGCAATGCTCGAACTAAAGAGGATGATGACAGTAGCATCTTTCCCAACTTCCTCGACTATGTCCGGCTCTTTTGTGTGTGTGTGTGTGAGAGAGAGAGAGAGAGAGAAGTGGTGGGTTCTGTAAAGACCTTCCACCTTATCCATCCGAGGAATATCAAAAGGCATTTGATGAAAATCTGAACCAATGGTCTTCCTTATAGATCAGGAATTAAGAGTAAATAATCATAATCTGAAATTTTAACTCTACAGAACGTTACTCTTTTGTAACTTGAAGCGAACTATACGGGCAAATCTAGATGGTTGGCAGTTCAGACATGTAAAAGACGAGAACTTTCGTGTGTGATGCATAAGAGTTCAAAACCATAACATGTTCGAGTTAATTTTACATATGTACCTTAATCCTCGTTGGAAACAGTGCAATTCTCCATGACAATTGAATTGCCGAGGCCTTACATTGGGAACTTCTAATCCATTTGCTTGGTCTTTCTCCTAAATAAACGCAAGGAAATGTTCGCTTCTACCAGAACATTACTATGAATCTACCTTCTTCATTTCAACATCGTACAGCTCCACTTATCCAATATAGCATAATTGGGTGGCGTCAAGCTTCATCCTCCTCCTGTTCTTATTGCTGGCTGGTGGAGTGCGGGTGCTCCTTAACAATATCCATTCCCTGGATATCACTTTGACTCTTCTTTCCAACAGTGCCTTTAGGAGGAGGATGTGGCTGACAAAAAGTTGATGACTTGTTAGTTACAGGGTTATACATTCCACGGGATACAAATTTACTCTCATTGTCTTCTTTGACTCTGGATGGATGACCCATGTCTGAGATCTCGGTGGATATATTAGGTTTAGTGTCTATCTGCTTGTCTTTCTCTGAAGACGTCCGTTCAAATGCATCAACTTTTGGAGCAGCAGAACGGCCAGAAGCAATTACAGTTGTGGGAAATGCCCTTTCTGGAGGGACAGCAGGAGTATAATTAGACGGAAGCAAATCATCCCAATTTTCTAGTAGCTCTTTGTAGACTTTCCGGAGGGTGACTTCAGTAAGACCTGTAACCTTACAAATTTCTGCTTGTGTCTTCCGTTTGTCTTCTAATTGGCAAGCTAAATATATAGCAGCAGCCGAGATGCTAATGGGATTCCTGCGAGTGCAGAAGCATTTGTTGATGACAACTTCCCCGATGTGAGTAGCCAGTTCCTAAAATTCATAGTTGTCAATAAGCATGTTAGAGGGAAAATAATAGATCACATGTTACCACATGCTTGGAGTTGTAAGGAGGGAAAGGTAAACGATCATTACTATATCCAATATTATTGTTGAGGAGAACTACCAATGCCAGTGGTCAAGCAGAATTTGAAACACATGAACACAAATTTTATTGTACAAATTTGAAATTTATCTGTTTTGACATATTACATTCAAATCAAATAAAATTAAGGTTAAATTGCAACTTTAGTCCCTTTAAGGTTTGTGTCTATTTGAAAAGTTTAAATAAGAAAAGGTGAATCTATAGATCACATAGAAAGAGAATAACATTATTGGAATTTAAATTATTAAACAAGAAACAACTATTATCACTCTTGGAAAGTATATGAAAACAAAGGGGAGATAAGACATTAAGCCACTCTAAGCCAAAGAAGACAGCAGAGAAGTGCTCTAATTGACACTTATCAAAAGCACATTGTAATTATTAAAACCTTAGAAGCAAAATGCTTTGGAACAGCGTGGTGAAAGCTATCTTTTGGAAGTTGTGGTTGAAAAAGAGATCCCAAATCTTTGAAAGGATGAATAGACACAAAGCACAATTGTGAAAGATTTGAAAATTTTGCGTAGGGCTACTTCAGAACTTCCGTTCGTTTTGTTAGGTGGGGGCGTGTCATATTTTTCCTCATGTACTTCTCCCGAACTTCGTCTAGCCCTCTAAATTTATCCGTAAGGATTCTACAATTCCTCATGAACCATGTACCACTGGTAGAACATAAAAGTTACATAAACTCCATAATGCCTTTTTATGTAGAGATTTGAAAGTCCAATCAAATTAGCTTTCAAGAGTTATTTGCAAAGAAATTTCTCTGTCATTTTTTGCCCCCAGTAAGGATACAGCACTTGTCCATTTTCTCATGCCGTAGAAGTTTTGATCATATTGAACAGAATCAACTATTTACAGTCCAATGCATACCAATCAATAGGCCTTAACTTGGTCTAAGATATGAAATTGAGGTACCTGAGCAGATTTATTGAGTTGAAGAAGCGTGCAGAACCTAGGCATATGGACTGAAATGGAATTGCTGTTGATGGGTTGACTTAATTGCAAAGCTTCTCCCAAAATCTTGATGTACTTCCCTATCTCTTTTTGGGGTACATTGGCTGCAATGGAGATTTCCTGTTATACTCACAGTATACACCACTTTAGTTGTCGTATCAGTAGTGAAGTAAAGATGCCAAAACATAGCTCAAAATCACAATTGGTAGAAGACACTACTCAAATTTAAAAAGTGCAGAAAGGGGCTTGTACAGATAGCAACATATACGAGGATTAAAATTTTACATTCTAACCTGAGAAACTTAAACACTCCAAAATAATAATTTTGCAAGAAATCAGAGGAAGGATAACAATTGACTGAATATGTAGAACAAGCAAGGGTAATTCATGAAATTCGAACAAATCTTGCGGGTAGTTAGCACTTTTGTAAAGAAACTCAGAAAGATGTATGGTCGAAAGATGAACTTGAAAGCCATAGCCTCGCCAACTATCAAAAAACAACATCAATGGACAATAGCTGCATAGATTTCTCAATTCATCTGCACAACAGTGAATTTCCCAAAATCTTCCTGAACTTTATGCGAGAACATCAAAACATATCATAACAAAACCAAGAATCAAGCAACATATTTAAAGTGAAATAAAGACCTGAAGGGTTCGGGGCTCCTGCGCCTCCCTAATTGCCTGCACAAGTGCAGCAGTGGCAAGCGCCTCAACGCTCCGGTTCCTTAAACAAGTAGCCGAACAGCAATCTCTAAACAACTTAAACGCATGCTCGGAAATATAGTAATCCAACCCCAAAAGAGAAGCCACATCGATAATCTGCATATAAGCCCTAAGGTTATCGACCACGACCGTCGACGACGACGGTAAATTGGCTGACGACGTAGACTCTAGGGTGCGCTCGAGCTCCGCAAGGTGACCGGAGAAGGAGAAGCAGGAGCGGAAGAAGAGTGGATTGTGCTCCAAGGACCATGTGGAGAAGGCTGTAATGAAGCCTGTGGGCTCGAAAGGATCCAAAACCTGATCGTTCTGGTGGTGGACCGGAGGGGAGGGTAGGTCGGAGGTGACGAGACAAAGGGGGTTATCTTGAGCGCGAAGGTGGAAGAGGTGATGAGGCTGGAATTGTCGCTCTTCAACAACGCGGCCGCATGAAACGCACTCGGTGATGGACTTGCCAGTGCTCGAGGTGGCGCACCGCCCCTGCGCCGCCGAACAGTAGGGGCACTTCATTGTCGACGTTACAGTACTGCTACGGATACAGATTCAGCGCGCATATGTTATTCAGTGGTCGGGTAATCTCAATCCGATTTTGCAGGTCGATGGAATTCAAGTCAACTGCATCGCCTACCATTTATACTTTTTTGTTGTTGTGGTTGTTAGGTTAAACCATAGTTTCCTCCTTTACTCGCTCGCACATTGGGTTATTCAAAATTTAGTTAAATTATAAGTTTATTTACTAACATTTAGGTTTATGTTAAGAATTTTGTTAAATTTAAAAACTGAGTCTAATAAATTCTAGATTTTAGAAAAATGTTTAATAAAATTGGAAACCGAACAAAAAAAAAAATGTGGTTAGAGTTGTGGGTCGATTCCAACATCGTCGTTGGTACTTATACTCTAAAGTTTCCATCATTATTGTCTCGTAATCAAAAGCCATCGACGTTCCAAGGTTTTAGCGTAGAGAGAGTAGTCGTTCAGGCGAGAGAGGAGACTAAACTATTTGACATTTTTGACATCTTCAAAATGTAGGGATCTTCAAAATAATAATTCATTCTATCAGAAATTAAGATGTATAAAACTTTAGACAAAGGATGCCGCAGGAAGATCAATGTGAACGTAAAAATCTAACAACCTTATCAAATAGGAAATCTAAGTTTCATAACCTTGTAACATGAGACATTAACATAGACACTCAGACGACCAAAGCATCCGTAGTTGAAATTATCCAAAGTTCCAACCACAGAGAAACAAATTGAACCATGCAAACAACGGGTTGGAAGTATAATAGTTTATGATGCTCTTCTACATGTTTAAATGATTGTCGAATGTGAGACTTTCAATACTCATCTTTCACCTTTATAAAGAACATTACCAAATATCACTCTAAAATTCTACGCAAAAAGGCTGTTTGACCCATCTTGCAATATACTGTAAGCAAAACGGAAAAAAATCAAAGTTTGAAAGAATGTAGACTTGCCAGTCACTGCCTCCTACAAACAACTTCAGACAGCAATCTAGTGGCTTTAAAGGCAGAGTAGAGAGGCATCGAACCTTGGATCATCATGAACATCACCCATGTCACAGCTTACTCCCAGTTTTGATAGCTGTCCCCCTGCTTTTATCTGCTATTTTCTGCATCTTTGTGAACTCTCGTGCACTCTGATAATAAGTATAAGAAAAGTAAAGAGCACAGAGGTTAGAGTACCTTGACAAGGAAAGAAACATGAGAAAGGAAAAATGAAAATTTTCCCAAGAATAGTTAATCATTTCTATATGACACAAGCTTTGATCAAATACAGGATTGCCTTTATCGGTTTTTGAAGCCTATTCAACCAAGGATTTCTAATGACACAGCTATAGCAGATATTGTCCTCTTTGGGCTTTACCTTTCAGGCTTCCCCTCAAGACTTTAAAGCGCTTGCTAGGAAAAGGTTTCCACACCCTTATAAAGGGTATTTCATTCTCTTCCCCAACCAATGTGGGATATCATAATTCACCTCCCTTCAAGGCCCATCGTCCTCACTAGCACTCGTTCCTTTCTCTAATCAATGTGGGACTCTGCCAAATCCACCCCCTTTGGGGGTCCTTACTGGCAACACCGCCTCCTCGCTAGCACATTGTCCGGTGTCTGGCTCTGATACGATTTGTAATGGCCTAGGTCCACCACTAGCATATATTGTCCTCTTTGAGCTTTCCCTTTCGGGCTTCCCCTCAAGGGTTTAAAAACGCGTCTGGTAGGGAAAGTTTTCCACACCCTTATAAAGGGGGTTTCGTTCTCCTCCCCAACCAATGTGGGATATCATAACAATATATTCAGGTACAAGATAACCTCAACTTATATAAATTGCAAGATCACACCCTGGTAATCAGTTCACAGTTTGCAAAATTATCTAAAAGAGCTTAATCTTTTTTAGGCTGCAGAGTGGTATAGAGGACAACAGACCTCACTGTCCTTAAAAAGCTAGTGATCATTGAAGAACAAGCAGTAGTCACCTGTTTGAGACCACTACAATTCTCTACCAGGCAGCTAAGTGAAAACGATAATATAGCTTCAACTCTTATAATTTAAATCAGGTAGCCAAAGCTAGTTCCTCCCAACTTTTACAAATCCCCATATCATACCTCTAAAAAACAACTCTATATTTGGAAAAAAGACTTTCTTTTTTAGGCTGCAAGACAGCACAGAGGATAAAAACCTCCATGTCTTTATAAGCTAGTGATCATCGAAGAACAAACTGTAGTTTCCTATTTGAGATCACTAGTTCATTATCAGGCAGCTAAGCAAGGATGGAAAGTGAGTGGCCATCTACCCATCAACAATTGGTTGTGGAGGGAGGCACGCAAGCAGGTAAAAACCGTTGCAAAACTTAGACATGTCAATCATTGCTGCCTTATACAAGATATCAAGCCTTTGATAAAGAATCCCAAATTTATCCCTTTGGGGACACTCGATAAAATTGATTTACCGATGATGTATGGGAAAATTATCTACAATGCTAAAGAGTTATACGAGTTACCAAGTTTCTGAATAGGAAACGACATCAGAAGTCAGGATTAAGATCCCATTCATCAAATGGAAACACAGGGCTGTACTAGATAGTCAATTGGTTTATTTTTCTAAACATTAATGTGCTTTAGTGCAAACTTGTTATAGCTTATAAATTTACCATAGCTTTCACAAAATTGAAACTACAAGGAAACACGAAACACACAGGAAGTACTAGGAATCCAACTGCCCGCTAGAACCTTGCCCGCATGTCATGTTAAACAATACTCCTCCAAGCAATATTTGACCGTTGTATCATGCTAAACATTATGTATCATTCCCTAACTTCTTACGAGTTCAATGAGAATCATAGTCAACTGCAAATATGCAATCGCAACCGAAACTGAACCCCCATCCACATACACGAAGAGTGTACTCAAAACTAACATGAAATCTGTTCCAGGTAGTCCTCAGTTATCCCAAAAGGTGCAATCTCAGATGAATATGAAGAATATTAACCATGTCAAAATGAGGGGTGGGGAGGGAGAGGCCGTACCATTAGCATTTAGTTTTAAGAAAACTTCCCACCTAATAACTATAAGAATTGCAACACTCAAGACTTAGGAGCGGGAAAAAAAAAAAAACTCAACTCCAACTGTTGCTGGTTTGTAATTATAGTTCATAGAATGCCCTAGATACCCTTTTCGTGTGCTACGAACATAAGATCATCAGGGGCTATTAAAACGTATGTATCAGAGAGTAAATAACCAACCGTGGATTGCTCCGAAGGCGTATCAAGAACAATGGAGTGCATAGACATCCGGGCGATCTCGGAGATAGCAGCCTCTCTATCACCAGGCATTTCACTGGTCAGGTCCTCGTACGCAGCCTCGAATGCCTCTTGCCAGAAACGCGGTAACCTGATCCGGCGATTATTTGTGTAAACGTCCCACATGTGTTTCACTATCTTCTCCCTTTCCTCCATTTCCTAAAATTCAAAACCAAAAATTGGAGGGAAAACCATGAAATCGATGTGTTAAATTCGATGAAGATCTGGCTCAGACATCAATAATAATTACAGAGAGAGAGATACTAACAAGCACATCGAGATCATTAGGGAGGTTAAAATCGATATCATCAGATAGACCGTTGAGATTACCGGCGGACCATCGAAGAGAGACGGTGCCGGTGAACATGGACCAAAATGCGAGCAACAAAATGGCAGTCAAGGCCCAGAACTTGTAGCGTCCTTTGCCGAATATACTCGAAACCGAGCTATCTTTCTTCCCGGCACTCGCTATCGTCGTTGGAAGGACATCGTCGTCCTTCATATCGATCAACGACAATAAGAAGAAATAAGAGAAATCAAAATCTTCGAACCACTGCCGCAGAATCGATTTTAAGAAATACTGAGAAATTATGCCCTCGCCTTTTCCCACTGAATCAAAGAAAGAACCAGATTTGGACGGATAACAGAGTTTCTTCTCTCACTGAAGAGAGGTGAAAGAAGAAGGAAAGAGAGAGACAGAGAGACGTATTAAAATATTATATTTGTGGGCCACCACATATAATTATATTTGATATCTCAATATCATAATAAAAATACGTGGAAGCATGAATCTTTGCTAATATTATCCAGCATAGGGCTATCCTTATCTGGGACCACCGACGCAATACGACGTCGGTTCAGAAAATTCAGCAACTCCAATAGCTTTTCTCAGTTTCAAACAATCGGCCATACCATATGATCCCTGAAAAAATCAACGAGACAACGACTAGATTAAGGAGAGCGTCACAACCTCTTAATTTGTGCTGTCACATCTGACAATACAATTTTGTTTCGAGACAGTCATCGAGTACGATGACTAGATGTAGTGGGGAGAGTGTCACAAGCTCACTGAGAGAAAGTAGCTCGTGACTCTCACACATCAAGGCAAACAATGGACGACCTTTAAGTGGCGCCCATCCGACCATGATTGGGCCAAGATTGAAAAGTGTTATGATGCAATTGAGAAGGAGGATGATGCATCAACCAATACACTAGGAGTGTACATTGAAGATAAATCGAGACATATGCAAGGTTTGAGAGAATGAGGCAACACGAGTGTCGAAAGAGGTTGGGTAGGACTCCGTCTATAACTTCAAAAGTCGAGATTTCAATATGATGAATTTTGTATGATTATAGATGTTCATAACCAATCAAACTTTAAACTTAGTTCAAATAAGCAATATAAGTTAATTTATTTTAAATTATTATCTAAATGAATATTCTAAAACACGAATTATTCGATTTAATTCAAAATTTTTGAAATTCATAGATTTTCTAATTAAACATAATTATAATCTAATTTAAACCCCAACATTTGTAAAGAAAAAGAGGGGGAAACATGTAGCAACGACACAATGACATGGCCGATATGGTTGACCCTAAATTTGTACGTTTTTGTAAACAAACCTTAAAAAAATCAGATGCCGTATGAATGAAAATTACAAGCAATAACCCGTTACGAACACTAAAAAATGAGCATAGTTCAACAATTAAGGCACTACTTCCAACAAGAAAGACGAGCAGGCAGCCATAGTTCAACAATTAAGGCACTACTTCCAACAAGAAAGACGAGCAGGCAGCCTACTTACTCGTCCATGCCATCGTCTCCGTCTCCATCTCCTTCATCTAAATCAAGATCAGCAAGCAACTCTTCTAGTGGTACTGAAGGTCCATCTTCCCCATCAGTCATTTCAGATGGTTGATATTCTCTATTTCGGTACAATGATATGTTGAACCTCAAATCTGGATTCTCCTCTAAGTCTCTCAAAAACTGTTCATACTCCGAGTTTTTCTTATCTTCCTCTGCTCTACCTCTATCATCAACATCCATCTCAAGCGATTTAAGCTTCCATGCTCGAGGCTTTCCACGCTTCCTCTGGCGCTTTTCTTCATAACTCTTCTTGATTAAAATCGCCTCCGGAAGTTCGAGACCCTTGTATTTTTCTATCTCCATATCATTACTATTGGCTGCATAAAGATCATAACCAAGGGCATAATCCCCAGGGTTCAAAATATGACCAAGATGGGTTCTTATGGAGAATATCGTGTCGTTCCTTCCAAAATCTGATACGCGAGCTACTTGAGCATAGGCCAACATATACTTAGAACCAGCAACATTGACTTCAGTAGAAACATTCTCAATATCTAGTACAACATATTCCACAAGCTGCCTGCTTGTGAGTAAAGACCTAAAGGATGTCCTCCAATACTGATCAGCATCCAAGAAGCAGTACCTTAATGTGAATGGATCAAGTAAAGCAATCGCATTTGTAACTTTGGTGCAAATTACGAGAGGACCAAGATTGCCCAAACTAACAGCAACTTTAGGAGGCAAGCATATCAAATCCTCACGGCATATTGGCGATATTTCAACGGAGAAAGTGTGCTTATAGTTGTGAACGTTACTCTTAGAATCATGAGAAACGAGTTGTTTATCGCTGCGGCTCCTGATTGGAGCAACCTTTCCAATAAATTCCACAAACTTTACAGCATGACTCCTATTAGAAAAGAAAAAGTCAATACCTTCATCCATCTGTTTGATCCTTATGGCATTGGCAGCAGCACCATGCTTCAGTATCAGTTGCTCCAAGAAGAAAAATGTACGGCGGTGAGGGACGTGCTGCCTGAGTTGAACAGAAGCTACCCACTGGTCAGGGTTGGCCTGGACCCTTGCACAAGACTCGCACAAGTGATCCTGTACAACATACTCCGCGACATAGGACTGTTCCAAAATTGCCCCATGTAGGACCTCTTTCTGAACCTTCAGCTTGACCTTGATCCTCTTGGAATGGGGTTCAGTCCAAACAAATTCAGCATGTACCAGTTTAACCTTATTCAAATTTTTTAACCTTTTGATACAGAATGTCAGTAGTTCCTTCGATTCTAATTGCGCTTTAAGCCAAGTTCGGGGTGGCTGCAAGTAACTCTCGCAATCTGGACAATGCATAATAGTCAATTGCTTCTGTAGACCTTCTGTGATATCAACTTCAGAACACAAGCATTTGACGCACATATTGGCAGCATTTGGTGCCATGGGAATTCCACATTTGCAACATAAGACACTGCCAATGGTCTGTTGAACAGCAAACAATCCTGCTTCTCCAGCCATAGTTATACTCCTAACAAAGATCACCAAAACAACACCAGTTAAATTCTAAAGCTTTTTTATTGAAGAAAAGGTGAAAAAAGCTAATCTAGGCCAAAACATAACCCCTTGTTTGGAACCCCGGATTTGGAAGGATTAGAAATCAGTTCTGATACCATTTGTGTTGGGTTTGAATATAAAAAATTAATATTCAGTCTGATTTGAAATCCCATTTTATATCGAAAAAATTCCTTCCAAAATGAAAACTTCAAAAGAAAAAGAAAAAGAAAAACAGTGGAAGTCTGATATTCTGATTAATCACACGGTGCGGAATACAGAGAATGTTCATAGAATTTAATTGCAAGAAGAATCTGTCAACTAATAGTAACCTATACCAGAAATATGTAATTAATCAGAAACGAACTTAACAACATCTGATTACACAAAATAGTAGGATTTGGCGGAATTTTAAATTAAATTTGACCTCAATCCAATTTTTTCCTATTTTCGAACTTGTTGAACAGGGGGAAAATGAACAAGAAAAAAATTGAACCAAGCAAATTAAACAACGATGGACTGAGAGATCTACAGTTACAGAAGATTGAGTGTGAACCTCAACGATGAGCAGTTGTAGAAGAAGGCGGCGGGCAGTCGTGCGGTTGCAGCAAAACAGAGGACGGCGTGCCGGGGCGGTTCAGCAGAGAGGAAGATAGAAAAAGAAGAAAGAAAACAAACAATAACGATGGGTGGAGAGCGCGTGCCGACGAGGGTTGTAGCAGAGCGATATATGAAGAAGAAGGGAGGCGAAGGAAAAGAGAAAGCTAAGGGCTATGGAGAAGAATAGTGGTCTGAGATTTGGTGAAGACAATACGAATGGCGGCAAAGGAAGGGGCTTTGGGATTTTAGGTTTGTAGGGTGTTATGGTAATTATGTTCACCAACAAGGGTTATTTATAATTTAATAATTTACAAATCCGCTGTGACATTCTACTTTTCCTTCTCAAAAATCAAAACCGTTTTTTTATTTTAAAAAAATCTCAAAATCGTGAAGGATATTATTTTGAAAATAATAAATAAATTATTGTAAATATGATGTCCTGCTTACCATCGCTCTCCCATGGGCCTTTGAGTTCAAGTTTGGGTCAGAGTAATAAATGGGCCTCTATATGGCCCAAACAGTTGAATACAAGAGCCTGCTGCCGTTCCATTGTCAGCCACCAAACAACCACCGCAAGTGGATGGGTCGCCTCCAGCTCTCCGCCAACCATTGTCGGTGGTGCCGGCCATTGATGCCACCATCTAGCTTTGAAATTAAGTATAAATAATATCCTTATATTTTTTTAAAAAATTTGCTCCTAAATTTTTAAAATTTTAAAATATTAATATAACATTTTATGAAAGAAACTTAAATTTTTATTTATTTAATAAGTAATGATTAAGAAAGAAAGTAAGTAAAGGGGACATGAAAGCAAAAGCAGTGGCATAAATAATATTGATTTTAATAATGTCCACGTCAGATTAGCAATATAATAATAATAATAATAAAGAAAGAAAGAAAAGTCCAATCAGCCTTTTTACAAGAAAATGAGATTTTACCAAATCACCCATAGTTTATCCCATAAATCGCACCCACCAACTTTGATCCTCCACCCAATTAACTTTTTTACTTCTAATTATTTATTAAAAAAAATAAATAAAATCCATACTTTATATTCTATCCTACTATAAACTCATCATTTAATTATTATTTTTTTATGTTATATTATCGTTGTCAAAAAATAATAAATTCAAATATTTGACCAATTACTAATTTATTTTGATATTTTCAAAATCGGTAAATTAATAAAAATGATGATGAAATAATTTGTGTTGATACAAATCGAGCACGACATTATAGAGAGAAAAAGGTAAGGGAGAGAGAAGGAGAGACACGGTTAGTGCAATGATTCATTCTCTAGATGAGAAATACTTTGCAAAGAAGGAAGAAAAGGGAACACTTTTGATGATGGAGGACTTTTTGATATAAAGTTAAAAGCATATATGAAAATAAATAAATAACTTACACCCATCAATTTCATTCATTGCGTCTCCTCCACATATTATTAGGCCAACCCTATAGTTTTCATACCTTTCACATTGCATTCATTTACAAGTTTATCATTATTCTAAAAGAAACAACAAGATATTAATTAACGATTCAAGGGATATATTATCAAAATGATAATATAAACATAAAATTTCAATCTTTACTTTATGTGTAACTTTTATATAATTATTTAATGAAATCATACTCCTATTGGTGTATTAATTTAATTAAGGAGATTAAGCTAAGATCCTTAGACCACCATCTCACTTATCATGAGTGGAAACACAACGTGAG